TGCAAAGCGTTTCCTCTCCTGCTGAAACGGCGTGCTCACTCGCTGTCACCAAGCCTGGGAGGCTGCTATTGCAAGGCCACCAAAGCCTGGTCTGAGAACCAGAGTGCCGACCTCGGTAGGGACCCCGGGGACTAAGGATGGTGGAGAGGCGAGTGCTAAGGATGGAACCCGGCTCAGGTGGCCGTTGGCACCTGGCCTGTTGCAGAGGTCCACTCCCACACAGCCTAGCAGGCAGGGCAGGATACTCCTCCAGGAATAGTTGAAAGCCTCAGTCAGTACCTAAGTAAACAGGTGGAGGTTGTGGTTACTAGTGGCCACCTCCAAGTTCTATTCCTTAAGAAATGTTTCTTCTCTTTTTTTTCCACATAACAAGTTGAGAGTTCAAAGAGTCCGCAGAGTTCATCTAAAAAAAACCTTTTATTTTTCTGACGCCCAGAAAGGTTGCCTGACTTCCCCAAAGTCACGAAAATTTTTAAAGACAGTCGATGCATCCAAAGCCAAGGCTGTTTTTCTTCTCATTTTTCTTTTTTTTTAAGAGAGAGATTTTTGTTTTTAGAGCGTGTGTACTCGCCGGAGAGACAGAGAGACAGAGACAGAAAACGAGAAATCACCCCCCCCCCCCCCCCCCCAGGGATAGCCACACCGTAGTCCTTTCCCCTCCATTATCCTCTCTAGATTTTGGGAATGCGCGCACACTCGCCCAGCGGGGTCCAGGATTCAAACCGCTGTCTGCCATGTGGGAGTCCAGCACCTTAACCACTATACCACTTCCTGGCCCGTTTTTCTTTTTTAGTATGTCTTTTTCCCACCTTTCTTTCTCTTCCTTTTCGTCCCTCTTCCACCTCGACCTCCCAGGTGTTGGTTAGTCCTGTCAGTAGCACTCAGGACTTATGTGTACAATGAGAGTGTACTTAACACTGCTGGACCATTTGCTTAAAAAAGATTAAAGAGGACAGGCCAGTGATAGGGTGGTTAAGGCGGCTGGATCCCCCATGGCAGACTGTGCAGTTGGGAGTCCCCAACGTGGTAGTTTGCCTGGCATGTGCATGAGTGCTGAAAAACCTGAAAGGAGGGGCTGGCAGGTGGCCATGGTGGTGGTTAAGGGCGCTGGACTCCCACAGGGCAGACCATGGCTTGAGTCCTGGACCTGGTGGCTTGCTTTCTCATTCTCTCTCTCTGTGTCTCTCTCTCACTCTGGTCAAATTAAAAAATAAAGTTACATAAAATCATTCTTTTAAAAAAGATCCTGAAAGGAGAAATGGAGGAGAGTGGATTGTGGTAACCACAAATGCATGATGCTTTCTCACTTCTCCCCTCTTGCTTTCTCTGTTTCTCTCTGGCAAGAGCACAAGCCTTCTAGTGTTTTCTTTTTTTTTCTTTTAGGTTTTTGCCATAGGGCACGTCCGCTTGCCAAAGGGAGACAGAGCAAGGGAAAGTAAGAAATTACTCCACAGGGGGAATGGCCACCCCATCTTCTTTGATGCACAGGAGCCTGGTGTGATTTTCAAGTGCTGGGTCCATGACTCAATTTGTGGCCTACCATGTAGGAATCCAGTGTCTTACCCACCAAGCCACCTGCTGGCCCCCTGGCTTTTTTTTTTTTTTTGTAATTGTTAAGGAGCTGGATGGTATCCCAGCAACAGGGCTCTGAAAGGTACATCCATAAGGGAAGGCTGACCTGGGAAAATTCTGGGGTCACCTCTAGAGACCTCACTAAGTATGACAGTAGGTATGATCTCACCCAAGATCCTGCTTACCCATGATCCTGGGCTAGAGGGGATTTGGGGGCAGATCATGGTCTCCCAACTCTGTGGGGGTGCTGTGTTTCTGTCTCTCTTTTTCTTGTTCCTGGAGGAAATGAACTTTTTATATGTTTATTTGTGTGTGTGTGTATATATATATTTTTTTCTTTTTTAATTTGCTAGAGGGTGCATGAGCTTCCTGGGAGAGACAGAAGAAATGTGAGAAAGCACCCCCCGTGAGGGTTGGTTAATGTAATCCCTTCTCCTCCATCTTTCCCTCTTGTCAGAATTTTGGACACACACCCAGATTTTTCAAGCAGACAGGTCCAAGACTGCAACAGTGCAGTTGGCTGTATGGAATCCAGTTGCCTTAACCACCACGCCAATGACTGGCACAATATGTGTGTGTGTGTGTGTGTATTATATATTTTTATTAATATATATGTGTATATATATATATTAATGGTTAAAATGATAAATTTTGTATATTTTATAATATTTTTAAGAGGCAGTGAATACATGTTAAGTAAAAATGAAGGGTTTGGGGTTTAGATATAGTTTCACATCAGAACACAAGCCATGCTAACACGCATGATCAATAAGAAGTGAAATGAGAATTATAGGTTTCCTAATAAATGAATACATGTGCAATAACAACTTTTAAAAAGTGATATCACTCCTTAAGCTGACTCTAGGCAAATCAGTGTGTCCTGTGGATCCAGCAGTACCTCTGCTCAAGGTGAGTGAGATGCAGTGGGAGGGAAAATTTTGCTTCATTTACTTCCTGATCCCTTGTAGCTGAGCAACCTCTGAGGATGCACTGCTAGATGCAATTTTAGTCGATTTACTGTAAAGACTATCAAGCACGAGAAACATCACAGCTCACATCATGACATAGATAAATCTCAGAAATACAACATTGACTAAAAAACGCAAATGACAAGATACATAAGTGATGGTGCCTCTTAAAAAAAAATACACTTAGCAGTGCTACATATTGTTTATTAGGATAAACATGTATCTACAATAAAAGTACCCAAAAATGAGCAAGAAGGCTACACATACCAATTTCATGACCCTGTCTGCCTCTAACAGGGCAGGGAGGGGAAGGAGCCCTGGGAAATACTACACAAAAGGGGCTTCTTTGTAACACACACATATACACAATTTAACATTTAAAAAAAAAAATCTCTGTGAGAATCAAGGATGCTTCTTATCAAAGTCTCTAAATTTTTCTTCAAGTTTGAGATGTTCCAGCTAAAAGTAATGGAGGCACTGGACTATGGCAGAGCAGTAAAATGGGATACTCTGTGGAGCTGACTCACATGGCAAAGTTCTGGGTTTATGTGCTCTGACTTCTCGAGTATGCCCTGCATATTCCTGCCCATGAACCTGGTCTGGTTGAGAGTGGATTAGTCAAGACCCTCTTAGCAATTATCTCTCTCTCTTTCTCTCAGAAGAAGAAAGAAATAAACTTTAAAAGTAATGTTGAAGTGGGACCAGCAGTTAGCGTAATGGCTATGTTGATGAACTCCCATGTAGTCGACCACGGTTCAGGTCCTGGACCCGGTGGCTTAAACTCATGCCGGGTGTGTGTGCATATGTGCCCAGGATCCCGAGAGGAGAATGGAGGCGAATGGATTGTGGCATGGCCATCCCCCCTGGGGGGTGATTTCTTGCTTTCTGTCTCTCTGTCTCTGTCTCTTTGGCGAGCGCACACGCTCTATAGTAAAAATCTCTGCAAAAAAAAAAAAAAGTAATGTTGAAGTATCACAGACATTGAGTTGTTTGCATTATAAGTCAATAATTATGTGACTTGTCCTCCCCTTGGGAGGAGAGGGGGATTGGTCAGCTGATAGAGGTGCAGAGCAAGAGGAGATCCAGAAGAGCTGAAAGGGACTTTCTTTTCAGGAATAACAACATTCAGATCCAGATCCAGCAAGGGTAAAGTGAGATGCTCTCTCTGATCCCGTCTCTCTCATTCCGTGTTGAAACCACCAATAAAAAGTCTTTAATGAGCGGGAACTTCACAGAGAGTCATGGCACTCTTGACATTGTTAAAACTGGTCTCTTTCTGGAGGAACTCGTTTTGAAACCATAGATGTTAACTGGTAGTGCATGGTAATTGAGTATTGCATCTACACAGCTCCTTCAGGGCACCTGCACCCACACCCCCACAGAGGCTGTTATTTATTCATTTGCATACCACCTGGTCAGGTGGAAAACCTCTAGGTTGAAATTCACACAGCCTAGGTTCTAATTTCAGTTTGGGGCTTATTGATCATTTTTTTACTTTAGGAGAGCAGCAACCTCTTTGGGCTTCATTTTCCTTTTAGAGTGGAGATATATAAATACTATTTATAACTGGGAGACACTGTAAAATGTAAGGTTTGCACATTTGTTTAAGTCAGAGGGAGACTACATTGTTACCTATTTTAGGAAACAAAGATAGTAAGGAAAGTCTCCTTTTTTCCCAATTAGATGCTGCCTGCCCATAAGAACTGCTTTACATTGACCTAAAAAGCTCTGTTCTGGAATTTTGAACTTTTTGGTATCCTCCAGCATTTGTTTCTAGTTCTATCACTGCTGTTAAGAACGTGAGCCTTCCATTAGTCATTTATGCACTGTATGTTCCACTCTTCCTCCTTGCATTTCTCTTTGATCCTTATAGTCTCACTCTTTATTACAAGGTGAATGCTCAATAAATTTAACTAATGAAATTAGCCCGGATTTTAAGACTGCCCAAATTTAAAGTTCTTCTTATTAAGGCATGCCATCTGCTGGTTTCCCTGTGTATCTGTCAGCCTGAATTCCAGAGCCCAATAAATTAAAATGCACGTTGAAGCATTTGTATGTTCCTGTGCTGGGCAATTTCCCAGTCCTTCCCCTTCATGCTGCAGGTGCTATTCTTTCATTGAACCAGTTGCGAATTCTTTTTCCTCCAACCCTATTTTACCTGTTGGCCTCTTTTAAAACCTGGAAAAGTGGAGTTTGTATTGTGGATTTCTGTACTGATCAGAACAATATAACTGAGTATGCTCAGTAAGTAAGGCTGATTTAGAACACAACTATAACTTGAATGAAGCTTTTCAATGCTACTTGTTTCAGGATTGGATGCATCTTCATCCTGGTGTCATATCAAGAGGCTGCAGCTCCTCCCACCCTTTTGGTGCCTGTGCTTTTAAATTTTATCCCTGTGCCCAGTTTTGGAGCCAGCCTTCCTGGATCTGCTGGCCAATGGAGAGACCACACATTGTTGCCTAAGAGACCCCGGATGCCAGTGACATGATATATAGATGGTGATTGGACTGGTGGAAGCTGGGAGGGGTGAAAGCTGGAAGGAGTCAAAGAAAAAGCTGGCCTAATGCAGCTATGGCAACATCAGCGCTTGGGGTTTGAAGAGGGAGACAAGCTGAAAGAGGTGAGAGCTGGGGGGCCGTGCATGCAAAGATGGAGACTCTCTTTGGAAAACTCTGCTTTTAGATCTTCCTGAGCCTCTCATAGGCCTCGTCAGTGCTCCTAGGAATTACATTTTGCTCTCCAGTTTCAGCTGTAGTTGTAGTTCAGATGCTTCATACTTATGACGCTAAGAACCAACAACTAATCAAAGCCTTTCAAGCACCAGCACTTTGCATTGTACTATCATTCTTGCTTTGTTTTTAACTAGTTGAATATAAGATGAATTCATATTAAATATTCCTGTATTCCACTTCCTGATATTATCTGAGATTCCCTTATGCAATAATAATGGTGCACAGTGAGTGCAAGATGTGTTAGCAGAGAAACTCAATCCTATTCCACTCTGTAAACTCCAAATAAAAGTCAGATCATCCAAGCATAACCCCCATGCCCAGCTCATAATGTTCTGCATTTCACCCTACATATCCACTAGTTTTGCTGCGTTTTGTTCTCTTGCTGTAGGGCGTGTGTGTGCTTACTGAGAGAGACAGAGGGAAAGTGAAAAATCACAACCCAGAGAATGCATAGGACGTGTGTGTGCTTACTGAGAGAGACAGGGAAAGTGAAAAATCACAACCCAGAGAATGGCCACACCACAATCCTTTTTCCTCCATCCTCCTCTCAGGATTCAGGACATGCGCACACACCCATACCCAACATGCTTTTTAAGCCACCAGGTCCAGGACTCAAATCATGGTCGGCCATGTGGGAGTCCGGTGCCTTTAACCACCACATCACCTGCTGGCCCCCAAACAGAGGCTCTTATCTTTGTTTTGTTTGTTTGTTTGTTTGTTTTGTGTTTTTTAAAGATTTATTTATTTATTTAATCATTCATTCATTCCTTCGTTTTAATTTGACCAGAGAGAGACACAGAGAGAGAGAGAGGAAAGTGAGAAAGCAATCCACCAGATCCAGGACTTGAACCGTGGTCGGCCATGTGGGAGTGTCCAGCACCTTAACCGCCACACCACTTGCTGGTCCCCAGAGGCTCTTATCTTTGTACCTCTAACAAATGCCTAGTAGGTCCTTAGTAAAGTCATAAATTATGGTGACAGTGTGAAGAATGGCTTAGAAGACAGATTGGCCACTGGAACTTTACCAAGGGACTCATCCTCTCTGCTGACTGTGGCACTAGAATCATATGTTGGGGACCAGGGCTATAGGCCCTCTTTCTACATATTTACCCCAAGAAAAATTAAAGACGAACATTCAAGGACGTCAAGACTTATCTGTGGATGGAGGGGAAGACAACTTGCTTTGTCATGTTGATGGAATGGGCCAGTTATTATTTTCTAAAGAATTATTTATTTTATCTTATTTATAGTTATTACTATTTTTAAAAATTATTTTATTTATTTATCTTAGTTTTTTGTCTTGTTTTGTTTTGCCATAGCGGAGACAGAAACAGAGAGAGGAAAGTGAGTGAGAAATCATCTCCCCTCTAATTTGACCAGAGAGACATGGGGGTGGGGGAGAGTGAGAAAGCAGGCCATCCCCTCAGGTCTGGGACCCAAACTGCAGTCAGCCATGTGGGAATCCAGCATCTTAACCTATCAGTCCCTAGGACAATTATTTTTTTGTGTATGATACATCGATATGTCTGTCTTTTTCTGTTTTGAAAACATTCATTTGTTTGTTTGTTGTGCTTGTCAAGCCACCAGGTTCAGGATTCCAACCACCGTCAGCCATGTGGGAATACAGCGCTTTAAACACCATGCCACCTGCTGGCCTGAAGTTTCTGTCTTTTTAATAGTAGTGAGTGGTCTGTATTGTGAACACGTGTGTGCATGGAAATACACACACTGCCCATCTTCTGGACTGGAGAGAGGAGGAGGAACCTTGTAAAAAGATAATGATAAAAGACAAGATGGAAACACCTTGATTGGCATGCTTCAGCAGGGATTGTAGTACAAAAAGAACTCTTCTGACAAGGCCTATGTCCCCAATGCCACACTTTCTTCAAGCTGATTCAAAGACTAATCCAGTGATTTCTAACTCTGAGAAACCAGAAAAAGAAAACAACCAGTGCAGATCCCTGGGGAGTCATGGAGAGAAGCTATTTTGTCCCAATTCAGAAATAGTGCCTAGAATCAATTTTTTTCCTACACAAATTGGAAATAGAGACAAAGTTCCTCAGCCTACAGCAGAGGTTTTTAACCTGGGGTAAGCAAAATTTTACATGCATGTGCATTATTCTAGAGAGAAGATGCATAGCTTTCATCACGTTCTCAAAAGGATTAAAAACATCTGGTCTAGGGCCAGCAGATGGCAAGGAGGTGAAGGCAGCTCGATCCCAAATGGCCAACTGCATGGTGGGGCAGTTCGAAAAACACACAGGCACGTGTACATGTGTGGCCAAATTCCTGAGAGGAGAAGAGATTGCGGTGTGGTCATCTCCATTTAGGAGTGAGAGGACATCAGTGAGAGGACATCTCACTGTCCTCTGTGTGTATGTGTATCTCTGTCTCTTTCCAGTGATTGCACATACCTTATAGCAAGAGAAAAAAAATCTGAGAACCAGAAGTTGATGTGTTGGTTAGGGCACTGGACTCCTACATAGCCGACTGCAGTTCAAGTTCCAAACCTGGTGGTTTGTTTTCTTTCTCTCTCTCTCTCTCTCTCTCTGTCTGATTAAATAAAAATAAATAAATAAAAAAATTCTTTAAAAAAGGGAAAAAAATCTGACTTAAAGAGGAGAAAGAAGGAAAATAAATAAATAACAACCACAAATTAAAATATATCATTTTTAGCTGAGCAGACTTGGTGATCATGCTTGGTAGCTATAATTTGTTTTCTCACATGTACTTTTACTACTGGATGCCAACTAATAATAGTGTAGTGAAATCTTTTTTTTTTTTTTCTTTTAGGGAGGTTCCTCAGTTATTCTCACCCTGACCCTCTCGAATGCCCCTCCTGTCCTAGGTCTGAAAGCCATTCTCTTCCTACCCACAGCAGAGCCTATGCAGGGTTGGACCCTGGGTAACCATGGGTTGGAGTAAGGACACTGAATGGTGACTCCTCTTTTTTTCAGTTTATTTATTTCTTCCATGACAGAGAAAGAGGAAGGACACAGCTCCTACAGGGTGTTCATGTTGTGATGCACCCTGAGTCTCAGACGGCCTGGATCATCGGTGCTCAGCACTGTATGCTCAGGGTAGTTCCAGTACTTGAACTCAGGACCTTTCCCATGTCAGTCTAATTATGTTACCACTGCACCATCACCTGGTCCATGAAATGATTTCTTTTTCTTTCTTGCTTGCTTTCTTTATTTTAGAGATTTTTGCCATAGGGTGCGTGTGCTAGCCAGAGAGAGAAAGATAGTGAGAGAGAAAGTGAGAAATCACCCCCCAGTGAAGATAGCCACACTGCAGTCCTTTCTCCTCCATTCTCTTCCTGGGATCTTGAGCACACATGCACACATGCCCAGTGTGAGTTTCAAGTCATGGGGTCTGGGACTCGAACTACAGTCAGCCGTGTGGGAGTCCAATGACATAAACACTACACCATCTGCTGGCCCCTCCCTGAAATAATTTCTGACACCTTTTTTAACTATGCTAAACACGTGGTCATGCTTATAATTAACCATCATGGACTGAAAAGAACTCAAGGGCTGGGGCTAGCAGGTGGCGTGGTAGTTAAAGGCACTGGACTCTCCCACACAGTGGACTGCAGTTCAAGTCTCGGACCTGGAGGCTTGCTTTCTCACTTTCCCTTTCTTTCTTTCTCACATTCGGTCCCTCTCTGGTCAAATTAAAATAAATAAACAAAGTTAAATAAATAATTCTTAAAAAAAAATAAAAAAAAGAGCTGATCTGAGACCCCTTTGTCCAAGTATTGTAATGTCAGCAGGCAACTGCAGGAAGGAATTGTCTAATGACGCTCACGAGGGTTTATAACATTGGCTTTTTTTTTTTTTTCTTTTTTTGGAGAGATTTTTGCTACAGGGCGCATGCACTCGTCAGACAGACAGAGACAGAGAGACAGAAAGCAAGAAATCACCCCCTCAGGGGGGATGGCCACGCCGCAATCCCTTCTCCTCCATTCTTCTCTCGGGATCTTGGGCACACATGCACCCGTGCCCAGTGTGAGTTTAAGCCACCGGGTCTGGGACTTGAACCATGGTTTACTATGTGGGAGTCCAGCAACATAGCCATCACGCTAACTGCTGGTCCCAGCATTGGCTTTATCTTCAGCTCTAGTGGAAGCCTGAGTAAAAATATCATATGTCAAGTAAGAACCTCAAAGATTTCAGGTACCAATTTCCCCCAATAAACTCAAATGTGCTCATCTCCAAAGACTTGGCTTCTTCCATTACACCATTCTATTTCTTAAATATGACATCAAGCTGGAACTCGTGTTACTTAGATATCAGGAAGAGGGGATGAGGGAGTTAATAGGGATAAAAATGAAGTGTTTTATGATTTTAAATTTAAAATACTTCTCTTTGGGGCTAGTATGATATGTTCTTAGCTAAGAGTGATTTGAATTTCCATGAACTAATGCAAATATAGTAAAGTTTAACTGTTCAGAGTCTGGTTCCCAGTTCCACCACTTACTATCTGCATAACCTTGGGCAGAATGTGTAATGCCTACGAGACTCATTTTCTTTATCTGTAAAGTGAGCTAAGACCTACCACTTCACCATATCATTGTGAGCTTTCATTGACCATGCATACATGAGGAGATTTCAACATGCTTGTGGAAAAATTGAATAAAAGTATGAGTTTATTTTGGTGCAAGAAGTGTTGAAATCCATATATAGCTTTTTCAAAATGTGCATTTTTCATGAGCTTTTGGGAGACCTCGTCATAGATTACTTGACATATGAGATGCTCCTAATAAATATTCTTCCTGTGGCCCAACAAGAGTTGCATGCACTGCTAAAACTCTGTGCTTCACAGACTGGGACCACATGGGAGGCCTGGAGTCCATTCTCAATCCAACCTAAAGGACAAGTGCGGTGACTGCACCCATAATCTCAGCAACTTGGAGAGTCTACGCCAGGAAGATTGTGAGCTCAAGGCTGGCCTGGACAGTGAAATGAGGCCTGTCCAAAAATAAATAAATAAATAAATAAAAAAGCCAGGCAATGGTGGTCCCAGCTGGGAAGCTCAGGCAGGGAGATCACAACATAGCAAGACTGTGCCTTTAAATAAACAAATTAATTAATTAATAAATATTCTTTTTCCCCCACTCTCATTTCCTCTCCCAACATAGTAAAAAATTATATGGTGGCAGTATTTTTACTATACTTGATTTTAGCCAAAAGGCTGAAAAACAATATGAGTATTTTTTAGTACTTTGAAAATGATATCACTTATTCCTTTTAATAGGAATAGCCTTTCTTAACGAAGAATATCCAGTTATTTCATGATGGCATTTGCACCTCCAAAAAACATAGATAGTCCCAGAATGCAGACAAAGATGAGTACCTGGACACCTCTAAACCACCAGCTTTTGAATGACCAGGTAAGTGGCCAGAGCTATTTTACCAGTTAGATCCATGCCTTAAAAAAGGTGAAGTATTAATATTCTGGTCATCAAAAATATGAGCAAGAATGATTTAGAATTATGTAATGGATGGGAAAAAATGAAGGCTATGTTTAATTTGTTTATTAAACCTTTACTATGAGTAAGGCTGAGAGTAGATCTGTAGTTGCTCGCCCCAAAAGAGAATGTTTTAGATTTGTTCTTCCCTCTACTCTCCTCCGCTTTCTTACCTCAATTAACTTTTTTCTTCTGTTACTGGTTCTGGAACCACAGGACTGAGAGAAAAGAGAAGCCAGTCTTCAAAGAGTTCCCCAAAGATAGATTTTTCTAAATCAAGGCATTTGTCAGCAATGAACAGTTCAATTTTGAGTTCCTGTTTTATGGTTTTATTTTAATTTTGTCTTTCTTCTGTGGTCAAGTGTGAAATATGTAACTGTCTCAAACTAAAATATTAGGTCTTCGGGAAAGTGAGGACACACTCTTGCATAGAGAAACATAGAAAAATGCGTCATGACTTTCCAGACAACCTAGTAAGAGTCACAAGATTGTAACTTCATGGCAGGCTTTAAGCAGAGAAGTTGAATTTAAATTTAGATGCTTAAAAAAAAAGTCATGAAGGTAGACATATGTAACAGATTACAAAATAATTTAGGCATCGTGAATTTTTTTCTTTGTTTTTAAAGAATTACTTATTTTAATGTTATTTATCATCATTATTATTACTTTAATAATAATTACACAGAGAGTAAGAGAGAGAGTGAGAAAGCAAGCCACTAGGTCCAAGACCCGAACCATGGTCAGCCATGTGGGGGTTCAGTGCTTTAACCACCATACCACCTATTGGCCTCAAGGCATTGTGAGTTTTGGAGGAGTGTTGGAAAAGCATTTATTTCTTTCTCATCTAGTATTTTATCTTATTCTATGTATTTTATTTTATTTTTGCTATCAAGCACATGCACTTGCTGGAAAGAAAGAGAGGGAAAATTAAAAAAGCACCCCCCAAGGAAGATAGCCCCATTGCAATCCCTTCTCCTCCATTCTCTTCTTATGATTTTGGGCACACATGCCCACATCTTTTTCCAGCCTCTGGGTCCAGGACTCAAACAGTGCAGTCATCCATGTGGTATTCAGCCACCTTAACCACCGTGCCACTGGCTGGCCCAGTTATCTATCTATCTATCTATCTATCTATCTATCTATCTATCTATCTATCTATCTATCTCTCTATCACTTTTTCTATCTATCTATGGGCACTCCCCAGTGACAGAGAGAGAGAAACAGTGAGAGGGAAAGTGAGAAGTCACCCCCGGGGGAATGGCTATACTACAGTCCCTTCTCTTCTATTCTCCTCTCCCGATTTTAAGCACACACACACACACACACATGCATGCACACGCCCATGATTCTCAACCCACCAGGTCTAGGACTCAAACTGTAGAGTTGGCCACATGGAATCCAGCATCTTAACCTCCATGCCACCTGCTAACCCCACCATCTAGTATTTTAATTGAAAATGATCCTTACTTGGGCTGGCAGGTGACATGGTAGTTAAGGGAACTGGACTCCCACATGGCCGACGATAGTTCAAGTCCTGGACCTGGTGGCTTGCTTTCTCACTTTCCTTCTCTCTCTCTCTCGCCCTGTCCCTTTCTGGACAAATTTAAATAAATAAATAAATAAAACTAAATAAAATAATTATTTAAAAAAAGTGATCCTTACCACAGTCTCACAAAAAGTAACTATGGAAAGTGATAAAAAGAGTCATTTGTCTGTGATTATTATTTTGCTATGTGAATGGGCAATGCTGCACATTTAATCAAATACGTAAAATTAATGTTTTCCAACCAGTTACATTACTAAGGTTTTCCTATGGAGTTTATGTCCTGTGTGCACTCTGGAGAGGTTCTAATAGAATAATACACCAGACGAAGGATTGTAGCAGATTACTGGGGTGTGAGATTGACCAACCTCTGGGCCTCTCTGCTCCAAGTTCTGCCTTCTGCCTTTTATATATTTATTTTTTTTGGAGAGATTTTTGCTATAGGGTGCGTGTGCTCGCCAGACAGACAGAGAGAGAGAGAAAGCGAAAAATCACCCCCCGGGGGGGATGGCCATGCCGCAATCCCTTCTCCTCCATTCTCTTCTCGGGATCTTGGGCATGCATGCACACGCGCCCGGCGTGAGTTTAAGCCACCGGGTCTGGGACTTGAACCGTGGTTGACTACATGGGAGTCCAGTGACATAGCCATTATGCTAACTGCTGGTCCCATGCCTTCTACCATTTTGTGATGCCTTTGTGCTTTCCAGCTGCCTAAATCAAGAGTTTTCCAAGTAAATCTATATTTCCTATAAAAATTACCCTGGCTTAAGTATTTCTGTTATTAACACAAAAACAGACTAAGATAGTCCCCATGGGAGATGTCTTCTCATGCCTCAAGTTTCCTTGCTGCCAGCACAACCTAGAGAAATGGCCCAAGTAAAGAGAGCCCAGGGCCCTGTGTTCCTGGCGTACGAGCACAGACATTGAGAATATGAAAGATGACACATGGAGGAGTGTCTACCAGCACTCAGCACTCCCTTGCCTCCACCTCCAATATATTTTCAAGTTCTCTGAGTCTTCCTCCTGCCTCTCTCATTCAGCCCCCTTTTCTCCAACTATTATACACTTCCAGTTCTGGATTTACAGTTCACATCCTATGCCTAGCACTGTGTACCAACCCCTTAACTAGCTTCACTGCCTCTATCCCTACCAATCCATCCCCTATTCTTATCGCAGGATGATCTTTCTAAAACTGCAATCGTATTCTGTGAAACTGATAGTGAGCCCCACTCCAAAGCGTAAATTCCAACCTGCACACATAGCATTGAGGTCCTTTCATGGTGTGACCTCAGCCAGCCTCCCAGCTCCCACCCATGCTCTGCTTCCTCACATATGATGCCCAAGCCAAGCTCAGGGTTCCCAGATGCACCCAGTTTTCCACACCTACGTGCCTTCACACATGCCCTCCTCCTCAACTCCAGGCAGAGTCACCTCAAATGTCTGTACCTGCTTCCTGCTTCTTGTTCTTTGCCCTTAACACTATTTACTGACTTTCCCACTCAACTGTCATGCATTAAGACTTGAGACTCTACCTTTTCTCTCAGTTACTCCAGTGCCTGATACAGTTCCTGCAGTACAAGAAATGGAGTCAGAGTTCAGATCTCCTCCCTAATCCCTCTTTTATTGACTCTCATCTTCTTGCCCTTGCATGTCTCCTTTCTCATTCTGGATATGACCTTTTGCCTCTCTAAACCCAATAGAAATGATAACTCCTCTGGCAGAGCTGGGTCAACAAAACTCACCCCTCCTGCTGAGTACTTCCTAGTTCTATTTTTTTTTTAACTTTATTTATTTATTTATTCATTTCAATTTGACCGAAGAGAGAGTCACCAGGTCCAGGACTCAAGCCACCAAGTCTGGGACTTGAACTAACTTTGATCAACCCTGTGGGAGTCCAGCGCCATTTTTTTTTTTTTTAAGAATTATTTATTTATGGGACCAGAGTTGGCGTAATGGTTCTGTCGCTGGACTCCCATGTAGTCGACTGCGGTTTGAGTCCTAGACTCAGTGGTTTAAACTCACACTGGGCGCGTGTGTGTGCATGCCCAAGATCCCAAGAGGAGAATGGAGGAGAAGGGATTGTGGGTGGCCATCCCCCCTGGGGGGGTGATTTCTCATTTTCTGTCTATGTGTTTCTCTGTTTCTGGTGAGTGCATGCACCCTATAGCAAAAACCTCTCAAAAAAAAAAGGAATTATTTATTTATTTAATTTCTTTTTTTTTCTTATTATTTTTTAATTTGACCAAAGAGAGAGAGAGAGAAAGGGAAAGTGAGAAAGCAAGCTGCCATGTCCAGGATTCAAACTGTGGTCAGCCATGTGGGAGCCCACTGCCTTTAACCAGCACACCACCTGGCAGTCCCAGTACTTCCTAGTTCTGCTCCTCTGATGGGAAACATGAGCAATCTTAGGGGAGAGAGAGGAGCCAGGGTAGGGATTGGAATAGTGAAAAATAAAATGGAAAAGGACTAAAAAGGAAAAAGACAAAGGAAATGAGGAAAGAGGAGAGAGAAATAGAAAAAGAAAAAGAAAGGAGAAGAAAGAAAAGACACGGAGCGACCAGGTTAGCGCAACGGCTATGTCGCTGAACTCCCATGTAGTCAACTGCGGTTCAAGTCCCGGACCTGGTGGCTTAAACTCACACCAAGCACTTGTGCGTGCATGCCCAAGATCTCGAGAGGAGAATGGAGGTAAAGGGATTGCCGTGTGGCCATTCCCCCTGGGGGAAGATTTCTCGCTTTCTGTCTCTTTATCTCTCTCTGTCTTTCTGGTGAGTGCATGCACCCTATAGCAAAAACCTCTCCAAAAAGAAAGAAAGAAACAAAAGAAAAAGCAGAGAGAAAGAGGGAGAAATCCAGCCTTCATCTAGCCAGGAAGATCAAACAAGTCTATTGAAAATCTTTTGTATTCAGCTCAACAGTTATTTATTGGGCACCTGTTTGCAATGCTTTTAGCACTCTGACAGTTTACATAACAGCTTATTTTCTCCCCCTACAAAAAAAAAAAAAAACTTCAGTGTTTAGTTTTGAAATCTGTTTTCCCATAGAATTGTGAAAGTTTTACACATGTGTGAAAAAGTGACTTGAATCGGAATACATATTATGGGATTCTTTGATTTCAGAAATTTTTTTTTTTTTGAAAAAATTAGAAGTCTTGGTCAACTAACAGCCATGAAGAAAAAATTGTCTTAGTGGCCAAAACATTGTCTGAGTGCCTGTTGCAGTTTGGGTCACTAGAGAAGCAAACTCTGAGACTATCACATAGGACATTGATTTGGGAGCGTTCGTAGGATCAGCACTCAGAAGAGAGAGAGGGAAAGGAAGGCCTTAAGTGTGAGGCAAAGGAAGAGGATGGGATGCAATCTCTAATAATCCTATAGGA